CGGCTTTTCTTCCACTATTTTTAACTCAGTTTGAAACTTCAAATGCGACATAATTTTGGCTTGGACCATCTAAGCTGACTGACATCAACTTGCTATAATTTCTGTTTACATTACATCGCAATTCGATGACACTCTGGCTCACACACCAGAATGTTTTGACGATTTTTAGCATTCGTTTAGGATTTTCAAACAACCTGGTCTCTTTTAAAATACTTTTAATTTGTTCTTACGTGGTTTTCCAGATGTAGTGACGACAACATTAATGTTTAAAGAAGAAACTTCTAACATTTAAACCGACTAAACAATAACATAGTAAACTTGCATAATTAAACAGGAACTAAAAATGATAGGTTTTACTAAATCTTTTCCTGTGCAATTATTACTAGCATTGGAGACAAGGATAATGGTTTGTTTGAAAGAGAAAAGAACAGGCTTTGAAGTAAGCCTAAAAGCGTTTAACTAGAAATAGTATTTCGAAAGTTATTAAGCACAAAAGATGAATTGCGTTTATTTTGATACACCCTGTATACCTAATAATAATAAACGAACGAACGAATGTATTCCTTCCACTCGTGAGCTCATTTACCATTGTCACATATGGTAAATGTCCAGGCCTTGTGACCCTGGATGGGCACTTAAAAGGAAAGAATACACACACACAAAGATTTATTCAACCATTAAAAGAGAACGATTGAACAACTGCGCATGAACGAACGTTCAAAGTGAATGCCTCTTGTTAGCCACCTACAAAATTATTATTAGCATAACAATATGTCTCACATGACTCATTTCCTTGTCGTCATATCATAACAAATCATATCAGGAAATATGAATATCAATTACAAACCTTTAGTCAAATCCATGACCTTCAGGAATATTTACCTACAACTGTAGGATCTAAGTGCAAAGCACCAAAAATAACAATATGAAATTGGTCGAAGACCCGTACTCAGGAAATAAAATAACAACATAAAACGCTCACTGAGTTTCCAGCGATATACATACCCTTTTCTAGATATATACCTAATAATAATAAACGAACGAACGAATGTATTCCTTCCACTCGTGAGCTCATTTACCATTGTCACATATGGTAAATGTCCAGGCCTTGTGACCCTGGATGGGCACTTAAAAGGAAAGAATACACACACACAAAGATTTATTATAGATTAATTATTTATTATATTTTGTAGGTGGCTAACAAGAGGCATTCACTTTGAACGTTCGTTCATGCGCAGTTGTTCAATCGTTCTCTTTTAATGGTTGAATAAATCTTTGTGTGTGTGTATTCTTTCCTTTTAAGTGCCAATCCAGGGTTACAAGGCCTGGACATTTACCATATGTGACAATGGTAAATGAGCTCACGAGTGGAAGGAATACATTCGTTCGTTCGTTTATTATTATTAGGTATATATCTAGAAAAGGGTATGTATATCGCTGGAAACTCAGTGAGCGTTTTATGTTGTTATTTTATTTCCTGAGTACGGGTCTTCGACCAATTTCATATTGTTAAGTAAAATCCGTTTTTGGCAGATCGCACCTTTTAGAGAGCCTATAATCGAGTGTATATTATTTCTACGCTGCCTAGAGGCTAAGGTGCGATTCGAATCTTTCTTGGTGACAAATAACTACCCTTTGCATGATACTAGAAATGTTACTTCTGGCATGTCAAATTTTACTAAGAATTCTGTCTTCAAGCTTTGTCTTCCTGTGTGGGTAGCTATATTGTACAAGTAACTGTTCTCGGAAGTTTATAATTACCGTATGCATGGCGTATGAGGCTTTGTGTGATATCAGGAAATGATAATATTAACTAGTTAACATATATAAAGTTGTATTTGTTGTTTTGAGTTCAGTTCATCTAAGTCTGTATTAGCAGGTAAAAGAACGTGACAATAAGAAATATGTCTCTTACCCAAAACTCAAATCGTGCAAAGGAACCTGACAGATTGGGTCATGACTTTGATTGTAAAGAGAGTTGTTGCAGAGATAAACTGACAAGAATCGATCGTTGGGAAACCGTATTAAAATCCTATGAAGAACTGACCAAGCCTATCTCTATGGCCAATCTCAATGTCGTGGCAGACGATCCTTTAAGTCACGCTTTCAAGTTGACACACGAAATAAAAAATCTGAAGAAGACGAATATGGAAGTGAAGAGTGAATTGAAAGCTTTTTCTAGGAAGTCAAAAATGTTTACAGTCGACTTATTAGACGCGTGTGAGAATAGCAAAGAAGTTGATGTTATTTTTTGTTCTGGTAAGGATGTTGAGCAGGAGAGGATTGACACACTCAGAAAAGCTGTAGCTGCTAAGCATAAAGAGGTATAATGATCAGAGATGTTATTACACGGAAGTATATTGCAAACATTTTGCATATTAGCAAATGAGCTAAATCATATTTGACCAAACTTTATAGCAAAAGTTGCTTATATACATTTGACCAGACTTTAATTAAATTAAAGCAAAAGCTACGAGAAAAATGAATAGCATATTATGCAAACAATCAATACGCTATATGAGCAGCACAACCAATTGAATGTTCATCCTATCGCATATTAGCAAGCAAACTTTGACTAAAATCAAACGTTACCCTACCGGCTACTGGTTAACTTTGACTAAAATCAAGGGTGCCAGCTGAGAAGCAACAGGCATTGTGTTATGTGGTTTAAGACCAATGCCAGCCATATACCGCGCAAAAACCTTAGACACAGCTTTGAACGATTTAACATAGCTAATAAACATTTGGTTAAGGCTTAAGCGGCAAATACAACAAGGGGGAATTCCGTTCTCGACCAATCAGCCCATTTGTTGACACTTTCGCTCTAAGCCAATGAGAATGCGTAATTGCTTATTGTAGGTAGTTTCCCTGCGAGCACTGAAAGCTCACTTCCGGTAAAAACATACATTTGAACTTAGAAAATACAGGGTCTTAAATAAAGCTTCGATAGAGTCAGGATTTTTAATATTTTTGATTGGATTCGACGTGACAAGGTAAAATACGAAATTTTCTAAAAATTTCCGCTGCGTTTTGTTGTCTAATTCTAAAATTATCGGCATTCGAACTTACGCGCTTTTTGTAGGCGGCTGTTAATAATAATAATAATAATAAAACTTTATTTAAAGAGGGAATACATTGTTTACTTAGTACAGTATTCTTCCCAATGGCCCTCGATGTCTGATAGTAATATATAAAAAGAAAATCCTATTGAGAGTAGCATTGGCAATGAGTAATATGCTTACAATCAATGCAGCGGAATTTATTAACGTGATCTACTTCATAATTCAATTGAATAAAGTAGGTTTTGAGCTTCTTTTTATAAGAATAAATTGAGTGATTTTCAATATCTTTTAATTCGGAAGGTAAAGAATTGAATAGGCTTGCACCACTGTAGGAAATTTTGGATTTAGCTTGCGTAGTCTTAACTGATGGAACTTTTAAGTCTGTAATAGACGATCTAGTTGGAATTGGATGAGAGTCGCGAACAAAGACAAACAATTTACGAAGATCCGGCGGCCAAGATGTTTTTAAAGTATTGAATACCAATAATATTTTTCTCATTTTGATCAGATTAAAAATAGGTATCCAGTTGAGTTTACGGAAAAGCACAATTGAAGGCACTTCAGTTGACTGCTCAAGAATTAGTCTCGCAGCACGTTTCTGTAGTTTTAGCAGGCACGTAATTAGTTCGTTATTAGCATTGCCCCAGACGTGCTACAATATAGCAAGTGTACTGGACATTAGTTCGTAATATATGCGGGATTGGAAAGTGAGATAGCTATGTGTACGTTTGAGCAGGTAAAGTCTAGAATTGATTATATTGTAGATGGTATTAATTTGCTTATCTCATTTCAAATGTTGGTCTAATGTAACCCCAAGTAAAATGGCGGATGTAATCTCCTTAACATTATTGTTATTGACTTCAATGGTTATTGGACTAAGATCAGGGAATTTAGATTGGGAATATATTTTCATTATTTTTGTCTTGCCAGGATTAAGAGACATTTTTTTATGGTTAGTCCAACGGGACACTGAGGTCATATCCGACTTTAGAGAGACACTGTAAGTTCGTGAAGATCGGATCCGGAGGATATTAGTGTAGAGTCATCGGCAAATAAAAAAGGCTTAGAACTTCCAACATAACTGGGTAAATCGTTAATAAAGATAAGAAAGAGAATTGTCCTAGTATAGATCCTTGAGGCACACCAGACTTTATCAGAGATGAGTTGGATTGGGATGATGCAATTTGTACTACTTGGTAACGATAATTTAGATACGATTTAAACCATTTTAAAGCTATTGGAGTAATGCCATATTGTACTAATTTCTGCAGTAGCAATCTGTGATCGACCAGGTCAAACGCTTTGGAGAGAACAATAGGCAATTCCAGCTTTTAGTTTATGCGTGCAGGGGACGATGGGAAGTAAGGTATCATATTGCTGATTATGCTGAAAAAATAGAAATGGTGGTGAAATTAATTAAACCTTGCTCAATGTTATCGAGAAGGAGTTCACTGTTTAAACTAGGCAATAAAACGCTAATCCCAGCGGCAAATTTTTAGAAAATTTCTGATTTTACCTTGTCACGTTAAATCCAATCAAAAACATTAAAAATCATGACCCCCTCGAAGCTTTATGTAAGACCCTATATTTTCTGTTCAAATGTGTGTTTTTACCGGAAGTAGTAACCAATTACGTATTCTGATTGGCTTAGATCAAACCTTAATCGGCACATCGATCTGTGCCGATTATAATATTTAATTGGCACAGTCTTCAACCAATCAAAATAGAGTTGACTTAACTAAATTGATATTAATTTAAGCACGAACTTATAATAAGAGTTGTTATCTTAAACTAATACTTGAATGTTATATAGTTTATTGTTTATCTTATATAGTTTATTGCACATCGCTATGTTCAACAGTTGTTGCACACAATCGTGTATGGAGCTAAAACTCGAGATTATCCTGCCAGATATTTTGTCAGTTATCTTTTATTATATTCCATGTACACCATAACTTTTCCCATCTGGGCATGTATATTCATTTTTTGGCAGAAAGATTGCGAGTTAAAGCGTTTTATGGGTACAACTTTTGGCAAATTTGTGAACCATGTTTCGCAATTTTGTGTTTTTCTTACTCTGCTGGTTCTCTCGTCTTTAAGGGACAGTCATGAACCAAGTGCAATTGGTTAGTATATATTAGTATACATAATTAGTTATTACATGCATACTAATTATACATATAATATTGATCTCAAACTAAAATATTTTCTTCAATGTATACAGTACTGTATTGTGAAGCTTTCCGTCATCCTGAAAGGCTTATAAAATATAACTAAATTCCACTTTGAAATTATATCCTCCTCTAAGACCCTGGGTACGAGGTTGGCTTTTTACATTATTATACGCTTTTAATTTTTTGCATTTGACAAAAAGAAATTTAAAGTAAACGCTATATATGTTTAACAGAGATTTTTTCAGGCTTTTCCATGTAGCTGACTATTAGGTATATAATTTTATCGGAGATTTGAATTTCTAGCTTGTTTGTTTGCATGATGTGAAATTTTAATTATAATGGTTAGACACTGCCTCCAAAATTTAACGATCTGAGACCCTTACAGAGCCTGTGTCCATTACCACAGGTAACAACAAAATCGCCCTAGTATTTGCTTAAATCATCCTTTCAATTTCAAAGTTAGAGATATCATTAGGAAGAATTTCCAAAAACGACCGTGAAACATCTTCCATTTTCTCCAATAACCCATTCTCTCATTTCGACACAACAAAAATATCCTTGAAAAGTTCATATAGCTCCCTATAGCCGGTTTTCCACTTCGCCCGTATCGTAGCGAAACGTACTGGTGAGCATGCGCAGATTGAAACGAGGTTTATAAAACCACGTACTTCCGGGTGTATTCGCGTACCAAAATAAAAAGTTCGTCGCAAGTCAACTTTTTGGCGTACTACGGAAGTACTAACCAATCAACCTTCACGAAATTTTGAAATTTAAAAACGTTTTTGATACGTTACGGTATGATACGCTTGAAGTGGAAAACGGCCTTATCACAGGATTCGACGTCATAGATTGGCACGTTTCCTTGCCTGGTGCCCAAATGCAAAACCTGCAGTGGCGTAGCCAGCCCGAAGATTTAGTCCCGCTATGCAAATATTTTCGTGTTTATTGACTGTAAAATCAATCAATTTCTAAAGAAATGAATAATGATAATAATTTTGAATTTGCATAGCGGGACTGAATTGTTAGGCTGGCTACGCCACTGAAAACCTGTGATTTTATAGATTCTGCCACCACCATTTCGGCGCCAAAATCTCAAAACCATTAAGCATGCACCATTTCACGTGCGCCTCCTCCCATCTCATCTACTACATTTCATGTGCCATGTTTTATATTGGGGAAACTGGAAGATCTTTGAAGACTAGGTTTGGTGAGCATCATTGGCAATGATACCAACCAGCCTGTTGCCAGGCATTTTAATAGTGGCAATCGCAGTGTTTCAGATATGGAAATTCGAGTCAAAATTAACCAGCAAAATTAACTAGGAACTTTTAAGTTAAGTTTAAGTTTAGGTTTAGGTTTAAGCTAAGTTTAGGTTTTAGATTCTGTATAGAAAGCAAACGGTCCGTTAATTTCATCACTTAGGTATCAATGGGATGACAAGATATCATATTTAAAGTAATTGTACAAAACATAGTAGGGGACATTTTCTAAAACACAATGTAATTATCATTTGGCTACGCATAACGTAAATTCCAATAACACCCCAACTTCTGTAACAATCCGCACATACTTTTTGTTGGCAGAAAAGGTGATTTTTGCATTCGTTATGGCAATGTTCTTGGACCAAATTCATAAAATCAAGAAAGAAAAGCTGAGTTATTTTCATAAATGGTGGAACTGCGTTTTAGCAGTCATGTTGATGGGTTTCCTGGCATCTGGCTTGCTCTGGTTGATTGGTTCAACAGCAATTGGAGGCTGGTCAGCCGCTAAATTGGCGTCACGCAGGGATAATGCAGGGCAAAAAATTATACTTCTTGCTAACAGCTTCTTCTCGATCTCTTCGGTTATAAGCGTTATTTATTTGGGTTGTTTGTTTCAAGTAAATTCCGTGTTTGGGCCGTTGCATCTTTCGACATTACGGATGTTCAAAGACATTGGCAAATTTTTAACGGTATTTTTAGGAGTTTTCTTCGCATTTGCACTCGGCGTGCGGAATCTTTACTCGTACGATAAAAGTTTGCAAGTTGAGTACCTTAACGGCAACAGTACGGCACATCATATGCAATTCAAGCTTGGCACGTATGTACTCCAAAA